TTTTGTTTTCCTCTTTTTTTTTTTTTTTTGGATTGAGCCTGTAACCTTCACGTTATCAGTTCAATTAAGTACTTTTCTCTTGTTTTCTCGTCACACAATCTTGAGGTGTTTCTCAAAGCTTTCAGGTGACAAATGATAAACAATCACAGAGTGATGGTTACATTGTACTGTAATCATCCAACGGTTACTCCACCCATACATGAATAACAGCTTACGTGTATTAAACACCGCTTAGCTGAGTATGCAGGTTGTTGTTATGATTTTATGTTTGTGTTGCTCTGAATCTGCTCTGTCAATCATGATCTCATTTAGAGGAGTAATGCCATAAGAATATGGGAGGATTCCAACAAGACTTTTCATTTAGTAGCAAACTTTGTCAGTTATTACATTGTTTCTTACAAATGTTTTTGATAATTATGTGGAAATGTATTAGGGATGCAACACTATGACCTTTGAAAGTTTGGGGTCGGTAAGAATTTTTTTCAAGACATTTATTTTTTACAAAACATTTCTTTTTCAAATAATGGCTGTTCTTTTGAACTTTCTGTTCATCAAAGAATCATAGTTTCCACAAAAATATGAAGCAGTGCAACAGTTTCAACTGCTTTTTTTTAGTAATAATAATTTTTTTAATAATAAAAAATGTTTTGTGAGCACCAAATCAGCATATTAGAATGATTTCACAATATTAATTTTCTTCTGCATTTTTGATCAAGCAATAATGCAGCCTATAGCCTATTTCAAAAATCTTACTGACCTCAAACTTTTGAATGTTAATGTACATATACAGTACAACTTATTTACATTTCTTGAATGTATATGCATTTAGTTTTGAATCTCTTCCACATTTGGCCAAATTGTTAAAGGTTTAGTTCACCCAAAAATGAACTCACATAATTGCTCACACTCATGTCGTTCCAATCCCATAAGACTTTTGTTAATCTTTGGAACACAAATTAAGACATTTTGATGAAATCCGAGAGCTTTCTGACCCTGCATAGACAGCAACGCAATTGAAATGTTTTATGGCCCAGAAAGGTAAGTATATCGATAAAATAGTCCATGTGACATCAGTGGTTCAAACGTAATGTTATGAATAGGGATGGGTATCGTTAAGGTTTTAACGGTATTACTACTCTTACCGATACTGCTTATCGATTCGGTACTTTAACGGTATTCTTATCGGTACTTTTTGTTTTATATATATATATATATCAAATGTTTGAAAAACAGCTGGCGACTCTGGTGAGATAGAATTTGCAAGATAATGTATATATAGCAATAATAAATGTATGTGTGTTTTATTAATTTCTCCAGTACCGATAGCAGAACCGTTAACGTCAGAGCTTATCGATACTCCGGTCTTTCATAATTTAGCCCCGGGACCGATTAAATACCGGGTTTCGGTACCCATCCCTAGTTATAAAGCTACGAGAATACTTTTTGTGAGCAAAGAAAACAAAAATAATGACTTTAATATTCAACAATTTCTTCTCTTTCGTGTCAGTCTTCGACGCGCGTTCTTGACAATACCATGACGGAAAAGAAGAGATATAATAATAAAGTCGTTATACAAAAAGTATTCTCATAGCTTCATAACATTACACTGTAAAAAATGATTGTGATTTTAACAGTAAAAGACTGTAAAAATGCTACAGTAAAAACCTGTTAATTGTTTATCCGTAACTTTCCATACTATATACGGTGAATAACTGTAATTACATTTAATGTAATTTTACAGTAAAATACTGTTAAAATGATGGTTTTTGGAAGTGAAAAAGAAAAAGGCATTGTATAATTTACAGTGAAAAAAC